TCCAGGTTGTGATCTAATATTTTTCCCGTGTATAATACACTATTTTTTTCTGTGATAGAAGAAAAGACGAATCGATATTGAGAAGATATTACATTATTTTGAAATCTGAAAATTATCGACGTGAAATTTTAAGTTTTTAACAGTAGGGACACCTGCGTTGTAGGCATCATTATCATTCTTCTGAAGTAATCAAATATCTGATGTCACTTCTGTCAGTCTAATTCTGTGATTTGATTTAAAAAAATTGCGAATTTAGTGGTTGTTTAGTAATATACGTAACCGCGAAGTCGAATGGAAGATAAAAGGACTTGCAGTTCTTTCACGGTATTATTGACTCATTTTTCGAAACTATAGCACAACAAAAGCCATCAACAGTGTAGATATATGAGATTTATATCCGGGAAAAAAGAACACACTTTTTTCCCACGGGAAAAAGGTAATTCATAATAAGTGACATTTTATAACCTGCCAACAGAGATGAAATGCCTAACTTTCTTCCCGTCACAGAAAAAAATAACTATTTTTTCGATGGAGACTTTTTCATAATATAGCTTCGAATTGATCAGAAAAGGGAGAAGGAAATCGGATTTTGTAGGTATAGATAGAGTATAGACAGAATAATTGGGACGATTGGGATAGAGAAAACAGAATAGACTTGAGGTCTATAAACCGAAATAGCGTCAATTGATCAGGCCGTTCTGGCTGTGGGATAGGACCGAGTCAATAATTCAGGGTGAGGTGAGGGTTAAAGGTGCACAGCAGTGTGGTACACAAAAACCCTGAAGGATCAACACAACAAAACCATGAGCTAAAATCTAATATTTTTCCCGTGAATAATACACTATTGTTTCTGTGACAGAAAAAAGGACGAATCAATATTGAGAAGATACTACATTATTTTGAAATCTGAAAATTATCGACGGGAAATTTTAAGTTTTTAACAGTAGGGACACCTGCGTTGTAGGAATCTTTATCATTCTTTTGAAGTAATCAAATATATGTCACTTCTGTCAGTCTAATTCTGTGATTTGATTTCAAAAAATTGCGAATTTGGTGGTTGTTTAGTAGGGTTCGTTGTTCGGAGAATATACGTAACCGCGAAGTCGAATGGAAGGTAAAAGGACTTGCAGTTCTTTCTCGAAGACGGTATTATTGACTCATTTTTCGGAACTATAGCACAACAAAAGCCATCAACAGTGTGAATATACCTATGTGATATATATCCGGGAAAAAAGTACTCACTTTTTTCCCACGGAAAAAAAGTAATTTATGAAAAGTGACATTTTATAACCTACCAACAGAGATGAAATGCCAAACTTTTTTCCCTTAACATGAAAAAACACAATTTTTGCCTATCAAAAGTTTTACATGAAATTAATAATATACAGGGTGTATCTAAATAACACCGAAAAAATTCAAGGGGTGTTTCCTCGTGACATATTCTCTTCAATATCCACAATTCCTAACGATACAGTAAATTCGGTGCCACAGAATTATTTTTCTGCCTTTGATAGAGTTTTAATAATTTTCAATTCTTCAAACTTTCAGTTCAATTTTGGTGTTTAATAATGTTTCTTCTATTCAGCTACAGACTAAGAAAGATGTATCTGATCAGCACAACACTGAGAAAAATGTTCTGGCAAACATCAAGCTCCTATATTCTGGGTAAAATAGCCCAGAAACTGTTCATTTCAGCTCAGTAGAAAACCATGAGTATTTTTCAATGAAATTGAACAAGGAATTCTCAAAACTGAAAATCGAAATTTTATCAGGGGAGAAATAGCTGTTTTGCCTTCATGTAATGTCATTAGGCAGGAATTCCAAGAATTATTCAAGATGGTAGTTTCGCCGAAATCCTGTCAATATAATATACGTATAATACCTCCGATAAGTGACATGATCGGTTGATTCGTGTCAGTTGACAAATGATAACAAAATCTGAATAAATGTCTGTCGGAACAGTTGGAAAAGTTTCAGGTGAATGCCCTGGAGATACTCACAGGTGAAGAATTTTGATATCCAAGCGGATTCACGATATTATACCGTATCCATAATATAGTTACAGCAAGTTATAGTGTCGTCCCATGAATATGGATTAAGCGCCAACTAACACAATTTATTAATTATTTATTGCCATCATGTCCGTTGGGAGAAGTCATAGCATGCAAACTGTGAGAATGGCAAAAAGTTTTAACTGAGAATTCTAATTTTTAAAGATATCGGGTGTCAACAAAATTGTCCCTGGGCGTATCAAGGATGGCGTGTTTTATTTTTGGGATCGGTTTGCTAAATTTTGATAAGCTCTAGGCACATGAATTCAAAAATATATATAATTCATTCAAACATAGTGCTGGGAACCTACTTCTTCTTCTTCTTCTCTACACAGGAAGGCGGGTGCGTAGACCCCTGCACGCTGGGAACCCAAATAAATTCAAACCCTGTGAATAGGCTCAAAGTGTATACTATCAAGAAATATCCCTATTGAAAAAATGTAGTGAACAAAATGAGTTTATTGAGACAAGACCTTTTTTCACCACACGCCACTCATCCAGGGCTACAATCGCTCATATACAGTGTGTCCACCTTAAGGACTTACCACCGCTGTAAAATTGTTATTAACTGACCGATTTCAAAAAACTTTTTTTTGTTGGATAGGTATTTGAAATTTCCATCCAACAAGAGAGTGATTTTACTCAATAACTGTAATCGTGGCCAACTGCGACCAACTTTATTGACCCATATTTGAGAAAGTACTATTAGGGATTTTTTTTCACAAAAAACAATGATGGATTCTGAATCGCGATCACTTGAAAAACACCTTTACTGATTTTTATCATCATAAAACACAGGGTGTCCGAAAAAACGAATAATGTTTTTTTTTAATAGGTGATCAGAAAATGTAGTATTGTCGTATATTTGAGAAGAATTGATGACACATTATTATTGAGGATCACTTTGAACATATCTGTACCGATTTTCATCTTTCAAAAATACGATGTGTATGAGAAAACAATTAAAAAGAAAAAGTAGGCAATATTTCTTCATCAACTCAAAAAAAATATTAATTTGATTTTTCGAACACCCTGTGTTTAATGATGATGAAAATCGGTACAGGTATGTTCCAAGTGATCCTGATTCATCTTTTTATTTTGAGTGAAGAATTATCAGGATGAAAAATATTGCTTACCTATCCTTTTCTTCTCAGACACATTGTATATTCAAATGACGAAAATTGGTACAGGTATATTTGAAATAATCCTCAATGATAATTTGTGATCATTTCTTTCTAGAAAAACCACAGAACTACATTTGCTGATCACCTATTTGAAGAAAATGATGATTCGTTTTTTCGGACACCCTGTGTTTTAGGATAATGAAAATCGGTACAGGTATATTTCAAGTGGTACTGATTCAGAATCCATCATAAAGTTTCGTGAAAAAAAATCCCTAATAGTACTTTCTGGAATATGGGTCATTGAAATTTTTCGCAGTTGGCCTCGATAACAGTCCAAGAATTAGATCACTCTCTCGTTGGATGGGCATTTCAAATACCTATCCAACAAAAAAAGGTTTTTTGGAATTGGTCGGATAATAACGATTTTACAGGGGTGGTAAGTCCTTAAGGTGGACACACTGTAGAAGTCACAGTCCATAAAAATGGTGATAGCAAATAAAGTTCGATAGTGGCAAGGCAGTAGATGATTCCTACATTTGGGAAGAATCAATCACGTTGAATAAGTTTCGAATTGGATTTCATCAGTAATTTTCAGAAGAAAACATTTCAAGAAAACTTACATAGAAGTTCGTTGAAGACGAGACAGTCAAAAATCACTGAAATAAAAAAGGAATACCTACTAAGACCACTAAACTACTGAAAAGTAACTACCAATCTCCGCACTGCAATGGTTGAAAGTTGAAGGATTCAAGGGGGGCCAAAGAATGACCCTACTCACAACCCCCCCAGGGCCTCCATACGGCCCTGGGAGATGAAATGTTTTTTTTCAATGGGAACGGATTCGTGTTCTACAGAGAAAAAAAAATTAAGAATGTCTCTAGCAAATTCTTTCTTGGGCCCCTTGAAGGGCCCCAAATTTTCAATTTTGGTATTTGAGTTGCAATAACTTTCAGGCTCAGGTCAAACCTATGTTTTAAATATGATAACATAAGTGCAGTTCCAGCATATTACCATGTTTTTAAGCAAACCCTGAATCTGGTTAACGAATCACATGCCAAGGAAGTTTTCTTCAACTCAAATACCAAAATTAAAAATTTTGGACCCTTCAAAGGGCCCAAAAAAGAATTTGCTAGAGCCATTTTCCATTTGTTTTTCTCTGTAGAACAAGAATCCGTTGTGAAAAAATAGGATTCCCATTGAAAACGAACATTTCATCTCCCAGGCCGTATGGGGGCCCTGGGGGGGTTGTGAGTAGGGTCATTCTTTGGCCCCCATTGAATCCTTCAACTTTTGTTGGAACCATTTTCTTGTTAGCGGCTTCCGGGAAGAACTATTATCCATAATAGATTAAAATGGTCCACCCTGTATATGAATTTTCGAAAAGTAGCTGAAACTCATTTTTTTGTCTAAAATGAGAACATACAATTTATGCAAAAAACTATATTTGGCCCACCCTGTACATCAGTTCTGGTAGCTAAGATCATTTTGTTTTTGTGAGCAATAAAAATATATTGGGAAATTCAACAAAAATGTTCATAATACGTTGAAGAAGGTATAACGAAGTGCAGGATCCTCAGAGGGGTGGGAGGGGGAGGGGGGGGAAATGAGAGCCTTTAGCAAATATGTTCGTTTTCCCATTTTTCCATAGATCTAAAATCCCTTAGTTTTTGTGAAATACCTAGCTACGTTTCGCGACACCCTGTACACTGTACAGCTTGTCTTCGATCTTCATTCAGCGATCGAAGCAAGCCGACTTTGACCTTGACATCTGGTGCGGCAACTATGGAGGATATATATATATAATCGGAAGCAAGGCGGCAGGTCTGTTGATAGCACTCGAGATATCCGACCAGACAGATTGGCGGCAAAGATTTCGAGATTTTATCTTTACTATTATCATCGTCCCCGATTCGAGTAAACTTGAAGGTGCGCGATAGTAGTGAGAAAAACCGAAACGTCGACTTGACTCCGAACAGTGCAGTGTTTATTCGTTTTGGATTTATAGATAGAGGTGAGTAAAAAATGTTACCTACTAAAGTAGTGTTTTCATCTCCAGGACTTACCTACCACCCCTTTGTGAAACTTAATTTTTTTGATGTCTGAAAATCATGACTTCTGTAATCAAATGTCAACAATCGTCTTCATTTCAATTTTTTTTAACGAGATCGACTTTTTTTTCTTAAGTACCTACCTAATTGGGTATTAATTTGTGCTCAGCTGCTCACGTATTTTTGACTGAAACATGCGAATATCGAGAAAAAAAATATCAACAACCATTGAAAATAAATTGAGAAAATTCATTCATTTATTTGAGAAAAATTCAATTGTTTCTGTTACGGGAAAAAAGTTTGGCATTTCATCTCTGTTGGCAGGTTATAAAATGTCACCTTTCATAAATTACTTTTTTCCCGTGGGAAAAAGTGAGTACTTCTTTCCCAGATAAATATCACATATATATACACTGTTGATGGCTTTTGTTGTACTATAGTTCCGAAAAATGAGTCAATTATACCGTGTCCGAGAAAGAACTGCAAGTCCTTTTTATTTTCCATTCGACTTCGCGGTTACGTATAATACTAAACAACCACTAAATTCGCAATTTTTTTAAATCAATCACAGAATTAGACTGACAGAAGAGACATCAGATATTTGATTACTTCAAAAGAATGATAAAGATGTCTACATCGCAGGTGTCCCTACTGTTAATAACTTAAAATTTCACGTCGATAATTTTCAGATTTCGAAATAATATAATATCTTCTCAATATAGAGCTAAAATCTACTACTTTTTTCCCTTGTAAAATAAATAACTATTCTACATAGGAACATATAGGAAAATTAAATTATTTCTGGAAATTGTGATATATTCTCTATCCTCTAATTATTAGTGATATATCTATCATGTGTACCGTTTGAAGCATCATGTAGGTAAGCTTTTATTGCGGAAGCCAGCATGCCCATGGTGTTTGGCCTCTAGGTTTCAGACATTTCTCGGAAATGAGCCAAAAATACTTCTTCTTTATTTGGTGTTTCAACTTTTTTACTATCGCACCCTTCAATGAATCCCGTGTAGTGCTTCTCATACATTTCTTGAGACTTCGACAGGAACGCTCTGTCTGTCACTCTGAGAATTACAAACTAATTTGTGTTTTGATTGACATGACAACAATAATGTTTCCACATCAGATCAATTCAAGGCCATAGGGGAATTGTCATAACAATCATTTTTTATTTTTCTCAAAAAATAGTGCAATTTGATGGATGATTTTGAACAAACTCACCTAATACTGCGGCAGCAAACTTATATTTCGCGATAATATTGTCATCATTATTTTTCCCACACTAGTGTGGAAAAACTTTTTCCGCACTGTTGCGGGAAAATGACACTTTCCATACAAAATTGCGTGCGGGTATAGGGTGAGTCACGCACGCTTGTAGAAAAAATAAAATTCGGTATGTCTTCACAAAAATTATGTGTGCCTAGTACTTTATTGAAGCTATCTGACGTATTAATGTCATATTTGACGGGAAGTGTAGATAGAATGAACCATACTAAATTATGTGAAATAAACGTTTCTAGCTACCATCACCAGCGACGTCCGACAGGGGCAAGTGTCTGTTAATCCTTCCCAAATTCTACGCCACTGGCGGAATTGCTATTTTATCACAATTTCTTAATTCTCCAATACTTTCTACGTAAATATCGAAAACTTCCTTCAGAGCGATAAAGTCATTATATTTAGAGATATTTCAAGTTAAACATGAAGCTGCACAATTATTATTTTCATTCTGATGTGCATCTATTATGTCGATGTTTTGAATCATTGGATTGCCTATTGCATTCAATATGAAAATGAAATTCCAATCCATGTTACCAAAAAAACATAATAAAACCTACTGAAAATGATAAATAAAAGAATCGCAGAAGACACATGTTATGAAAGTGATTTGGGTTAACTCTTCATATTTTCAGCACATGATTTTATAGCTGAAATATTTAGAATTAATAATGAAACACACTTTGACATACTCTACTTCGGGAACACTTCATCATCGATATAATGTCCATTGTTTCACATTTCACAACTCTAACTACGAAGTATACGTTTGAGTATCTTTTGTTTCGATTGAGAGAAGTCCTATAATATATTTAATGGCCATAATGAAACATTCCGACGGAGGTAAAGATAAATTTACTCAAAGTAGGTAATTGAGAATAAACTTTCGAATAGCATTTCAGTCAAACAGACGAAATCAAACAGAGATTCCGACTCTCAAGTTTCGTCATTAAATTTGGGTATTGTGATTTCGAGCAAGGATCTGTATTTTCGTATTGTCCTGTGTTAGTGAGTACCTAGACTTGAGTTGAAACGAAATTTTACTGATTTCGTGACATTTGGGCCAAGTCCAAGAAGACAGGGTGATCCTATCAACGATTTTTAGTAGTAGTACCCTATACACTCTATTCATAAGTATATGATCTGCCCTGATGAAGTATATGTATATAACCACAGTTTAATTGATATTCCATAAACTGTGATATCACCTATATTTTTTCGCATTTTTAGATTCTTCTTGATGAGTAGATGTCAGTAATGTATGATAGATTCTGAATTTTATAGCTGATCCGACAGTTATTTTCACATTACTTGATTCAATGGTTTGATGATTTCTACATATCCTATCCCGAGTCCTACCTGCATCAAACAAGTAAAAAAACTGTGCAATTATGAAATAACGATTGAAAATACCTCAGAAAGTAAAATGTTCGAATCAATCAATTCTTCACCTAGATTTTCACAAAAAATAGGTCAAGATCAGAGAAAAAAATTACTGTATAAAGATTGACTAACATATACTTCAAGAGAGGATCTTTGGAAGAAACAATTGAAAACACCAAATACCTGCCTAGAAAAATCAAATTATTAGAAGTAATTCTTCACCTTGATTTTCACACATAATAATAAGCAGTTTAAAAAACTGAAGGAACGCCCTTTTATAGATAGCAAGAATAAAAAGAGTTGTAAAATAACCTAATAAAAGTGTAATGATAAATAAAATCAACACTAAGAAACTAACTACCAAAGGCTGTTTTTTAGTGTTCTTATTACTAATTCTTAATAGAATGATGCCATGTTGGATCTGCCATCTTAAATTTCCAAATTTTGCCGAAAGAATCATAATAACCAACCCCAGGAAGCACCAGATACCAATTTTGGATAGAATCGGCGTTCACCATATTGGATGCGCCATGGACGTATAAATACGTCCATGGGATGTGCCATCTCGAATTTTACAATTTCGAGGAAAGTATCATAATCTCAAGCCCCGAACACCCCTAGATACCAAGTTTGAATAGAATCAGATCATAATTACAAAACTTGTCCGCCATATTAGATCCACCATCTAAAATTTTCAAATTTTGACGAAAGAATCATAATCTCCGACTTCGAAAACCCCCAGATACCAATTTTGAATAGAATCGGATTATAATTACTAAACTCGTTCGCCATTTTGGAGCCGTCATTTTGTTTTTTTGTCGAACAAACATTCCATTACCACCAGAATTATGTACACATGCCAAATTTCAAATTGATCGGTCCGTTTAAACTGGATCAAAATCGAGTCCAAAGGAGACGCTTACTTACATACATACATAGATATACATACAGGTGAAGGTGATAAAATGGTGTTGATAATAAATATAGGTTGAGCTAAGAGAATATGAATAGCTGTACAAACATTGACCTATACGTACCCTAGGAGAGGAGTCACATACCTTGAGAGAGGAGCAATTGAAAGAAAAAAACGATTGAAAATCAAAATTTCGAACCAATCAATTCTTGGTTTGATTGATTTGATTTCTACACAAAAAAATAGGTTGAGAGAAAAAGAATGGCTGTATCAACCTTGACCCACACCTTGGGAAAGGAGCAATTTGAAAGAAACGATTTTTTTCATGCGTTTGTGGAACCTAACTATCTCTGATATAGTCAAATAAATGAGTTACATGGACTTCTTCCAAAGATTAATCATCGATCATATTATATGTTGAATAGTATTAATCGACCTCAAACAATATTCATGTGTATAATACAGAAAAAGAACAGCTCATCCCGAATCCAGAGTCCCTATGAGTAGCAGAGTCGATATTCCAGACACGATCCTCTATCTCTTAACAGTGTTACGACGCGAGAATTGAATCTTGTAACGATAGCATCGTGGAAGAAAGACTCATTTCTGGCAAAGATACGCGCATGTAGAATCCATACACCCTTGTCAAAGCCAACTTGTGTATCCTTGGATCTTGTATCGTTCGATTCTTAATCGAATCAAAACGACTGTGCCTACTCGTGTTGTAATTAAACAATGAACCGTCTTCAAGTAATGATGGTCTATGCATAATAAATTTGGAAACGAAGTATATCAAGTACGTACATACATGGGTTGCGTGCCAGAACTGTTAGATGAACAACTCTGGAACACAACCTCACTTTTCTTTTTTGTTTACGAATGATTGAAATAGTTTTTCACAATTATTTTGGCATACGAATCGTGTTTTTCGACTATTCATTAATTTCCACACGCCATAACCTTGTGCTTTTGTACAATGCACAAAAAATGCAGTGAGAGACGAAGGAATCCGGTTAATACATTATGATTCAGAAGTAAGTACCTACTATAGTAATTCACATAATATAGTCTTCATTTTGAAATTTGGTAATTACTCTGATTTCTCATCGGAATTCCTTCTGCAATAGGAGCTGACAGAAATACTCGTGAAATTTCTAAAAGGATGCAAGAAGAATGGATTAATGCTGACGAAATATGATCGTTTGTGTTGTAGACGGAAGTGGCAAAAGGAATTTTTGTAAGAAATGACAAAATTTCATAATGAAAACTTTGTGAGATTACTATTCACCTGACAAATCATATTCCTTCGTCACTAGCTTCCTTTTTTTGTGTACTGTACAGGGTGATTGACTATGGATTTCTCGACTTCAACAGCTGATATCTCGGAAACGAAAAAAGATATTTGAAATTTGGAAAAAGTTACTTGAATGAGATGTCATTTCCTTTTGGAAAATGTGTTCTTTGCTTGATTTTATCATTTCATATACAGGGTATGTGAAAAAAAAATTTTTTTTTAAATAGAACCCCCTGTATATTATCGCATATTTCGAAAGAGCTATCTTTCCTGATTTTAAAGATATATACTTTTCATATATTCTATCGAGTGCTTGACGACATATCAGCAAAATCAAATATTAATATTTGGTCCAAGTTAGCTATGGTTGAAATAGAATGAGATGATGAATAAGTGAATTGACATTTGGTCAACATTTCAGTGACATAAGTGCGCAAAATTTCGCTAACTTTTTCACGATGCCATATCCACTGAAACAGAGAAGAGATATTTTGGAGTGCTATTTTTCAGTTAATAAAAATCTTGCTGAAACACTTCATAAGTTTATGAGGAGTTATCCAGGCAGGAGATTACCAAGTAAGAATTATGTAAAGTATTTGGCTGCTAAATTTGACAGAACTTCCAGTTTGTCGAATATCAAGAGAATAGTTTGAAGGCAAGACAACGAAGACGAGGAACTTCTTGTAATCCAGTATTTTGTTGAGGATCCTTCACGGTCAATAAGAAATGCAGTGAGAGAGTTTGATTTCAGCTATTATTTTGTTCAACATACCTTAAGGAAATATAAATATAGGGATTTCAGAATTAGACCATGCCACAAACTCAATTATGATGATAATGAGAAGCGGATTGAATTTTGTCTTGTCATATCTGAAAGATGAAATTTAAGTAAGTATAAGTGTAAGTGTTTCAGCAAGATTTTTATTAACTGAAAAATAGCACTCCAAAATATCTCTTCTTTGTTCCAGTGGATATGGCATCGTGAGAAAATTGTCGAAATTTTGCGCACTTATGTCACTGGAATGTTGGCCAAATGTCAATTCACTTATTCATCATCTCATTCTATTTCAACCATAGCTAACTTGAGTAACTTGGACCAAATATTAATATTTAATTTTGCTGATATTTCGTCAAGCCCTCGATAGAATATATGAAAGGTATATATCTTTGAAATCAGGAAAGATAGCTCTTTCGCAATATGCGATAATATACAGGGGGTTCCATTTGGAAAATAAAAATTTTTTTCACGAACCCCGTATATGAAATGATAAAATCAAGAACACATTTTCCAGAAGGAAATGACATCTCATTCAAGTAACTTTTTCCTAATTTTCAAATATCTTTTTTCGTTTTCGAGATATCAGCTGTTGAAGTCGAGAAATCCATAGTACAACAGCATGGTTAAATTAATGATTAGCCAATAAAATACGATTCGTATGCCAAAATATTCTGAAAAACTATTTCTTCTTCTTCTTCTTATGGTTATGTAATAATATTATCTCTGGACTCGAGCACTAAAGACACCGTAGTCCGTCACCATGCCCGGAAGCCGAGTTCATCATAGTCAAAGATTCTATCGTATGTATGTGCTAAATGTGCTCATGCTGAGCACGTTTGATTTCAAGTATGGCCCCTTCATCCGGTGAATCCGTAACCATTCGGCCGCTATACCGGCGTAGAGATAAAAGGGCATGATAATTTTCACATACACTTATTAAACTTCACAATAAATATTGGATTTTGATCCAGATCAGGTAATTAGAAAAATTTTAGACTTGCACACACATTAACCTGACTTTTGACCTTTGTCTCCTTCCATGGTCAAAAGGCGAATCCAAAAACTTTTTCAATCCTTTGATTCCTCTGTAAACAAATGAAAAAAGTGAGGTTATGTTTCAATGATTCACAAAAGAGTGAGGTTGTGTTTCAATATTTTGTGGAAATCCATATACGTATTAATAAACAATACGGATCATAACGGGTGCCAGGATGAAGCCAAAAATATGAAACAAATGAATATCCATAAGGATTTGGTGGCATGATACGCATGCGCCATGCGCTATTATAGTAGTCATCAAAGACATGCGTTTCGGTGGACAATGACGTTTACTAGCCTTTCAATCAAAGCAGTATGTGTCTGATCGTTTCAAAACTTTTCCTTATGGATAGTCATTTGTCTTCAAAAATCGGCTTCATGTTTCGCTATGGAAACAGATAGAGATTATCCGTATTGATTATTAATACGTATATGTGGAAATCTCATCGTTCGCGAAGTTTTGACATTCGCCATGAATTTCCATCAACTGACGGCCGAGTCAATCAAGAAAAAGAAGGAAATTGAATGTTGTTTCTACACTTTTCAGCTAGAGGCCGCAATTTTGGAATTAGTCAGGAACAACGTGAAAAAAATACCTTCTCCTACTGAACTATGTCCCCATTCACTGTGCCTGACAACACTGTGATGATCTTGACAGACCGTCAGTTTACTTCTGGAAGGAGTTTCGCAAACTAAACGACTATCCCGGATAGGTACGGAAGGACCTCGGGAAGGATATTAATTATTTAAAGGCCACGCGGCCCTTTCTCGTCTCTCTGAATGCTGGGCTGAATCAGTGAAGGGTCATCCAGACGAGATGATAAACACAGATTCCAAGGATGTGTCAGATAAAACAACGGAATTAGCACAATCACAAAGTTCGAAAAAAAATAAACCTTATTTTAGTATCCGTTTTTTTTCCTATTTCAGTGATAGTTTTCAAAATAGGTACTTTGGGCGGAAAAAGAGGTCCATGTTTTCACATTTTTGGATTTAGGAGATTATTATACATACAGTTGTATAATTTTCGGGTGAAAATTTCCTTAGCGTCAATTTTTCATTTGATTTTTGGAATCGTATCTAGGTGGCAATTACTGCCATAAATTGTTTTTGTTTCAGTTCCTTTTGAAGGGAAAAATTGAAATCATATAGTATTTCCACAACTATGTTGTCTATAATCTGCTCTCCCAGTGTTCATAAATGATTTTTTTTTAATTACTCTGCTTTTTCAAATGGCATAATGATGAGCCAGGTAATTTTTCTCGAAGAAACATGTTCAACTAATTAATTGATACCACATTTCTCAATATCAGATTGATAATTGAAACATCCTTAAAGAGGGATATTATATGACGAGTCTAGTAGGCTATGCTGTCTGTAAAAATCATACAACTGTATATGAAATGATCTCCTAAATGTGTGCCATTTGAAAATCGAAAGTTGATGTCATTTCTGCTGAGATCGGAAGAAATTCAGAATGTATAATAATTGTATCAGTGAATGCAAAATAAGATGTTACTTCAACCATCCGAATTTCATAATTCTATCTCAAGTGATTCAGAAGTTATAGGTTCTTGTGGCCACCAGGTATACCAAGTTTTTTATTTATTTTTTTTCTATAAAGTAGAAACGATGTAACTTGGAGCATTATGCTCTGTGGGTGGCTTTGAATCCAGTTTTTCATTTGAAACTAGAAATCGCCATTAATTAAACAAAACATAATACCAAAAAAACTCATGATAACCGCAAGGCATTTTTTTGTATTTCAGATTTAGACTTGTATGAATTTTATAGCGATACTAGAAATGGGCTAAGATATCTATAGACACAAGACTACTTTTTCTAATAATTCGAATCGAGATTTTCGTATACAAATAGTTTGTTAATGCTAATCAGGCAATAAATTTGAACTGAATCAATTGAAATCTGGAAAAAAATGTATACACAAGAAGAGACTCGTTGTCCATGTTAATTTAGCAGAAAAAAACAATGCAGATCCGGACTAAGAAGGTTTCGTTCAATCCGAAAGTACCTATATTATGTAACAAGTCTTATAAACGTCGTTTTAGCAACGAGTATTTTAATCACCAATTCCTACCTTATTTCCCTTGGTTCTCACGATATTCTCTGAACATTACAGGATAAAATAATAAAAAGCACGAGGGCAGCAGAGTGCAACGAGTATATAAACGCGTCACATACCATAATTTTTCTACGTACTCATAACTCCTCTATTCGACCATATCCCATAATTCTGAAAATGAAATCATAACCTTTCTGCTAACCTACAAAATATTCAAAATAATTCGAAAGGAATGGGAATTGAGAACATCAAACATTGATGATTTTAGCACCTAAAAATCGATCAAAAAATTCTTAAAAAATATGAAATTGAGAGGTATTTGTGTGACGATTCTATTTAGGAAATGAAAAAAAAATCGTCCACTCTCCTATTGACGATTTTTTCAATCGTGTTTCGCCCTTCACCAACAAAACATCGAAATCTAAAAAGACAATATAGAGAGATACCGAGTCCTCAAATTATGATTGATGATTGATTAGCAATCATGCATGCATGATATATTTTCACTTCCTGTGCATCCCCCTAACCAGATAGATAATAAGCATTCAATAGCATTATTTCCTGACTGAAAAAGCATCTTTTGTCTTTCGTTTTCAGGCAAAATGCGGCACACAACGGCAGTCATAGTAGGCGGCCGATCATTAATAGCAATTATCAGCACTTTGGCGCTGATCGGCCGTACCGACGCATGCGAAAGAACAATGCTGAGTGAGTATTAATTTTGATAAACGACTATACGAGGTGTCCCAGAAGATGTGGGAGATCTCCATAGAAAACATATATTATAATGGGCGAGTAGACTGATAACGAATTAATTGGCATTTAATTACTTTACTTACATTTGCTCCTCGTATTGTTCTTATCATCAGATTATTATTTCTATAATTTGTAATTATACAGGGTGTTTAAAAAAAACCTGACCCCCTTACTAGGGTAGGTAGAATACTGTAAAATAATTTTGGTTCACTCAGTAAAAAAATTTCGTAACGGCATCCGTTATCAGGATACAAGGTGTTGGAAAAATGATTTTTTCACACATTTTTCAAGATTATGTCGAAATTACTGGCAACATTGTGATGAAATTTCGTATGGATGTTTCTTGAAATCTGACACATCGCATGCATTTGTTTTCATACCTGACTCTCATAGAGGGCGCTACTTACACGGTTCGTACCGAATAGTTTTGAACATAACTTTTTTGAGATTAGATTTTTCAATCCAAATTTGATGTGAACTTGAACATCATTCAATTTCACATCAAAAAGGTACACTTGGTAAAACTCGATACTGTGTTCCGTTTTCTGAATATTTCGATTTGAAAATGATGAAGTGATAACTGTTGCTGGTATAAAGCTATGTATTAGAGTGAGTATTATGAAGAATTATCACCTATTTATTGAAAACTAACAACAACAATACATTTATGATGCTGAACTTATTGATTTAACAATGAATCACAAGAATAACATCGAAACAGATTTGACTAAGAACATGGATTACACAGTTTTGTTGTATCTTGAGCAGAAAGTCTATGCTACATAGGTAAATTATTCACGTCAAGAGTTGTGAGACATTATTGAACATCACTTAAATGACCTAACAGCTGATCCTCAACTGTTGAGAATTCGTCGAAACGTAGGACATTTTGAACAATTACTCTAACTGATTCAATATTTCATGTTTTTAGTCGAATATGTTTTAATTTTCTACTTATGATTCTTCGTCCATCAATAATTTCAGCACAAGAATAATTTCATTGTTTTTAAATCTGAATAAATTGGTAATTGAACTCAATAAAATTCATTTTATACCAGCATCATTACTACTCCATTATTTTCAAATCGAAATATTCCGAAAACGGAACATAGTATCGAGTTTCACCAGGAGTACCTTTTTGGTGTAAAATTGAATGATGTTCAAGTTCATATCATATTTGGATTGAAAAATCTAACCTCAAGAGAGTTATGTTCTAAACTACTCGGTACGAACCGTGTAACTAGCGCCCTCTATGAGAGTCAGATATAAAAACTAATTCATGCGATGTGTCAGATTTCCAGAAACATCCATAAAAAATTTCATTACAATGTTGCCAGTAGTTTCGACATAATCGTGAAAAATGTGTAAAAAATCATTTTTTCAACACCTTGTACCATGAAAACAGATGCCGTTACGACATTTTTTCACTGAGCAAACCCAACTTATTTTGCAGTGATCTACCTACCCTAGCAAGGAGGTCAGGTTTTTTTGAAACACCTTGTATGATGAAGTGGTCGTCACTCTGTAAAAATTGGAAGTTTCTTCTCAAGGTTATTTGCCCCCCTCCCCCCATTGTAAACACTGAAATGACGCCACTGGTAGGTGATGATTGATCATCAAAGGCAGAAGTATTTGTTCACCAGCTCATCACATTCTCTGTTCGATGTCGATCGAAAATCAATTTCAGCGAATTAATTGAATAAGAAAAAAAATAAAGGAAAAGAATCCGTTGACCTTCTGTTACAATGCAAAAAACCGATTGCACGTCGAGTTGTTGACTTATTGATGTCCTAATTTGGTCTCACAAAGTCATCAATCAAGCGAAGCAATTTTAGGAATAGCCCTCAGGGGATGCAATCGCGTGAACTATGTTGTTGATTCAGGCATGAAATATCTCAGCCTTGAATGAAACCATAAAAATATAATATGTCATAGCGTTCTACAGAGTGTCCCGGAATTACATTGGAAGATTCCAACCCCAGATTCTAGGATTCATCCAGACTTCCATTCAAAAAAAATTACATCTACGAATGATTGCCATCCTCGTTATCATCTGGTCAAAAGCAAATCCACTTAGTAGTCAAGAATATTGTTTGTGATAATTTATTTGTATAAGAAACTGGTTTCAACTTACCTTTATGGATAAAAAAAGTTAATACCTTGTAAATATCATATTACTTCTACTACATAATATACTAACTATACCTAGCATCTACGCTTTGCAATTAAAAAAATGATTTAGGTACCCAGATCAGTATACAGTGTGTCCCACTTACCATGCTCACCATGGGTATCTTTTTAACGGTGAGAGATACGAGGTCGATTGAATATGACACCAAATGTGGAGTTTGTCAAGGCCAACTATGATGTGAAAAAATATTTTGATAAAATCTATTCGTTTTTGTTTTATAAGCAAAAAACAGATTTTGATCATTTTCATGTCTCCTTCGTAACTTCTTTATTTATGGAAATATTCAAATAGGAATTTCACATTCTCAAGGCAGTTTTTCAAAGTGATTTCGAAAAAAATATGAAATTTATACCAACTCTTCTAGAATTTGAGATATCAGCACCAACTTTAGTTTTTCAAATGTAGGTCATAGCTCACTATGACTTAGTTACAAATAACTTTTTTTTCTCTTACAGATGATATGTCGCAGTCATAGTTTTGTGTTGATAACAATGGAGTTATCGTCATTTATACAAAAACAAAAAATTATTAGGAAGCTGCCATCTTGAATTTATAAATTTTAACAAAAAAATCATGATCTCCGACCTCGAAAACCCCCACTTACCACTTTTGAATGGAATCGAACCAAATCTTGGTCGCCATCTTGGAGCAGCCATTTTTTTCAATTTCAACAAAAATTCCATAATGTATTGTCACCGAAATTATGAACACCTGCCAAATTTCAAGTTAATCGGAGTTATGGAAATGTTCAAAATCTGTTTTTTACGTATAAAACAAAAAACGAATACATTTTATCAAAATATTTTTTCACATTATAGTTGGCCTTGACAAACTCCACATTTGGTGTCATTTAACCGACCTCGTATCTCTCACCGTTAAAAAGATACCCATGGTGAGCATGGTAAGTGGGACACACTGTATGTTTTATTGTCTAACAAAACCATAATCATTAATATTTTGAAACAGAGGTTTAAGTTCCCATCTCATGATATTCCACTATATCATGTTACAAGTTCCAAGTTACCACTTTGATATATAGGATGTTGTAAACTATTAAAGGTTTTCCTAAAAATTATAATAAAAAAGTTTTCCATTTGTTGCAAACTTTTTCAGACATTATGTAGGTTCATTATTGGTTTAAAATATATAGATCGAATTGGAATTTTTGGTCTCAATATCAAAACAAAATCTGCCAATGTCACTGAAGTTATTTTGTTTGTTCCAGGAACCAGACGCATATCCGATTTCGATAGGCAATTCATCCTGGATATGCACAATGCAATGAGGCAATCTATAGCCCTGGGACAAATAGGGGGGCAACCTCCAGCAGAAAATATGATGGAAATGGTGGGTTCCCTTCACAATTTCACATCTAAATATAACGCTTCGGATTTTGAGTAGGTACATATAACTATTTATATTGGAAACGATTCTACAAAAATTCTGAATTTATACACAGGGTGTTCTAAATAACCTCGACAAAATTCCTTGTGATATATTTCAGGAAATAAAGTTCATAGTTCACAAGTACTTCTACCAACTTCAACATCCTGTATTTCAAACAGAGCGAAGTTAGGACACATGTTTGCTAGAATATCACAAGCAGGAATCACCCCTTGAATTGTTTCGGCGTTATTTAGATACACCCTGTTTAGCTAGCTATCAATTTCTGCTTGGTGGCTATCACAAACCCCAGCATCAAATACCTAATAAGATTTAGAAAGAAAAGTAGATACCTAGACATACATTCACAGATTGTACTAAAAGGTTTCAAACTCGTTGTTTGTTACAGAAATGGGATGAAGAACTAGCCAGTAGAGCACAAAAGTGGTCTGAAACTTGTCATTCAGAAATACATGACCATCAAAGAGATGTATGTGAGTATTACCTCTATGAACCCAACTTATACCTAACTTTTTATAGCATGCAAAATATTCGACTTGCCAATTAATAAAAGGAAGTTCTCACCATTTAATTTCATTCCATTATTCCAACAGGCTTTTTTCTTAATCAGAATAAGAAATATAGTAGTCAACGACGAGGCACCCTAAAACAATAAATTCATATAGGATTTATAAAACATTGATTTAGATCACAAAAATTATTCATTATAAATCAAAAAATGAATAAGATTACAATCAAAGCAAGAATGTATGAGAGCGTCTGTTGAAATAGTAATAGGTATATTCTCGTTTTGAATTTATATATACCCGCGAATTTTGAGATAGGTACAGATATGCCAGTAGATCTTAAACCTACCAAAACTTTTTAACTCGCTATGACTATTGGTTTTTCACAAATAAGTTTCCACTGTTCACACACAATTCCTAGTTTTTCAGAAAATTGAAAATGTAAAAAATACATTCACTGAATATGAAGCCAACGCCACCTTATCGCCACTTAGGTAACTCATTGTTACCAATACCAGAAATTTAATTGTTTTGATACTTGGCATATGGCAGAAGTGCGGTAGAAGTGAGGTCTCTAGGCATCTTTGGTAGAAGATAGGTTTCGAAGTATTCTATTTCATTATTTGAAAACAGTGAAAAACGTTAACTATGAACCTCTTTGTAAAATCTGTGGTCAAATCGGCTGTAGTAGCGACATCTATGAGTTTCGGGAGCAAACACAGATTTTTATTATCGATTTCTATACAATATTCTTCTTCTAACTGACTGTGGATCCCTTGTATGATCTAAGGTGGATTCAGTGTCAATGTCGCAACATTTCGCACGAGCGACAAGCGTCTAGCTAGACCAGCTCAGCGAATCTTTGAAACCTCAAGGTTATCAAAAGTTTATTCGTGTTTATAACTCATAATAAGGTAATATGATGAAGGAACATATCTCTTCTGCATAAAGAAGGAAAGTACCTACTTTCAACCTAACGTGTTCTTGAGCTTTTTCCTGAAAAGTATCAAGGTCAGAGATGACGTGCGATGACATTAAAAACTACGGGACGGAAAAACAAACATGCCTAACTTAGTGTTTTACCGACTAGAGTCTAGCCATAGCACCATAGCGAGGTGATATTGCGCCTCGCTCGCTGGGCGCGAGAAATAGGGTGCGTTTTTCATTCCAACATTTTATCATGCGCATGAATCGAAGAAACCATCAAACTGTTGCAAAATTCCGCTGGAATGTTGATGGACATCCATCAAACTGTTGTAATAAAATGCGCACTTTTAAATCGCATTTCGAGAATCCAGCAGTTTGGAGGAGATTGACATGACAGTTGACACATTTTAGTGTTGTTTTTTGTTTTGATTTGATAGAAAACAATTAATATTGAGGAATTTTGAGATTCTTGAGAGATTTTAGAAGAAAGAGTCACTGTTAATCAATAAAGTCGAATTAGCCTTCTCTGATTCTCAAGATACATGATGACTGACACACAACAACATCCGTGTTTCCATCAATGTGTTGTATAAACCATTGTTCAATCCTTCCAGCATAAATTCCAACAGAACAATTGGTGACGTCACGACAAAAAACCGCATCTATCAGTGCGCACTTTTAGTGTATTATATTATATAGTATTTTTTCGATTTATTACTTCGAAACAAAAATGAAAATAGATTGTCTGGAGTTGGGATCAAACCCCGATCTTTTCGCTCGGATGAAGGAACACTACTTCAACGACCACCACGCTTCTGGCAAAACAAGCTACAAAACAATTTTATCTCCCGAACAGTGGTGCTATGGCTAGGCTCTAATGTTTTACCGTAGTTTCAAATGTCATCGCACAATAACATTGACGACCGCGAATAACTGAATTTGACTGAATGTTATTTTTTTTTGTCTTTAGCCAGATTTCCTGTTGGCCAAAACATAGCTAGCACGTGGACCACAAAACCTCCATCGAGCTACTACGACACAGAACCCGACTTTGCCGATGCCCTCTCCAAATGGTTTGACGAATTCAAATTCTTCAGATTCGGAGGTGTAGGCCGAGGATCCACAGGCCATTACACACAGGTAAATTAGTTTCTTTCATTCAAAATCAAATTCTCATTCGTCACTGATGTGAGTGTGGTACCGTTTCGATGTTGTCCTTCCAGTATATTTTACCAAGAAATAAAAGTACTCTTAAAATACCTATCACCCAAGATCAATATATTGTGAATTCTTTTGATTCGCTGTGATTATTATTGGTGTGAGTATAGATTCACAATGAAGCAGAAAAGACAAATCCAAGATCCGTGAGTAGAACACTAGTATTATTCACAGCTGAATGATTATACAACTGATGAAAGCAAATTCAAATGATAAAATATTCATTACCCACATCAATCTCACCGATAAAAAGTAATACCTTTATTAGTATCATATTAGAACAAACCACTTCATATTTCCTAGGTTTGGCGAGAATAAAACGGAAAAAATATCACCACTTATAATTTGATATATTTTTATTGAGCCGACCACTGATGATATAAATATAACAGGTTAGGTATCATTACGAGATAACTAGAGGAGGGACCCTAACTAGAGGAATATCGTGAAGGCAACGAAGAAGTATAAAATTTTATGGAAAATTATGGAAAATTATGAAACTCAAACATATAAATTCTCGATAACGTAAGAACTGAGGTAGAAACATAAGGAACAAAACAATTATACCTACTTTCTCAGTCACAAAGATTCGAAGATAATTTAAAGTTCGAGATTGTAACAAAACAGTCCTTTGCTTGGCGGGATTTTCAACAAATAGCTTTAATTCGGTTATCATTTGATAACTGTGCCAGACGAGAAACCGGATCAAAATTTGCATAGAATTTTGTAAAGTTCAAAACTGCTACGAGGTCACACTTCAACATCAAACAACCAAATAAAACATCAATGAATTATTTCAAGTCAAACAAAAATCGAACGCGCGGTTCCATGGAAATGATCAGAAAACTCAGCGCTTAGAGCAGATACCGCAGGAAGTCATTATTTTACCTAATTTTACCATTCGATACCGGAGGATGTGCAACCACCATTCCATCGAACCGTCTCAAGATCGATCTTCGTAAAATATAATCGATTCGATTCGCAAAAAGATCGATCTCTGAAAGATCGATTCAAGAATTGGCAACTCTATCCTAGTTATTATCATTTTGAAAATTATCCATCACAGATTATAAGGTTTGTTCACTCTGTGCCTAAGAGAATCAGAAAATCTGTGTAGTTCAAATAACCACTGATCTTCATATTAACCACTCGAATGACAGTTAACCACGCTCAGTGAATCTTACCAATTGTCTACACAACCGCCGTGGCGGTTGGATAATGATACATAAACAAACGTCGCGACATTTCTGCCTTCTTCATAGTTCAATGTTCATAGAGTATTTCCGATATCCCACCAAAGCGATAACTGTGTATCTGATCACCACGGCGTAACTCGGGTTCCACGTCTGAGGGTTCAACCCCTGCGAGGCATAATTTTTAATTTTTTTTTTTTTTTCCGAAAAATATATTTCTCAGGAGGAAGGTTTATCAAGGCGAGTTTGGTTAGTTTGCTTGAAGAAAGTAGTCTCCTTTTCCATGCAGAAAGGATATTTTCCTTCCTCGTGTTTCACGGCGGTCTTGGATATAAAAATAGGTAACCGCCGGCGGTTGTTTATGTATCAGTATCCAATCGCCGCGACGGTTGTGTAAACGGAGCCAAAATCGAAATATACAAAATAAAAGATTATACTGATCACTGATATTACTGATTCAAATTATCTTTGCAGATGATCTGGGCAGAAACCAACTTAATCGGATGTGGATACTCTTACTACTATGACCAAGCTAAGGGATATACAAAGAATTATGTTTGCAACTATGGGCCAGGGTAAAAATTGATTACTTTTTGCTTCACCTATTGAAACAACATACCACAGACAGTACAAATTAAACATAATTCCATCTTTTTTAGAGGTAATGTATTAGGACAAACTCCATACAAAAAAGGCTACCCAAATTGCTTAGAAAAGGGTTTGGTGAACTCTAAAAGATTTGCTGGTCTCTGTGGTGAGTACTGCTTGTTTACACATCCAATTTCAAAAGCAGTTATAGATCACTTGACTTTATTTACCTGAATAATGTTTTGTTCATTTCAGAAAAACCTACTTCAACTAGGACAAATGCTTACTATTTTGGAGTTTCTAATTACATTGGATGAATGGAAGAAACATTGGTTTTGATGTTATATTGAATTGTTCAATTGTTGTTCAAGATTTAGAATAGTCCACTAGTCTCAAAATTTGGACTTGATAGTGACAGAAAATACATATCCCAATAGCTTCTAGGCAAGGTGATTTGATGATTTCCAATAATTATTAATGTATAATATTCCATGCTCTGGCTCAGTGGTTCTACTGGATTAGTATTTTATTTGTTTGTTATGGTGATCCTAAATCAAATCAAATAAAAATAATCCATTGGAATACGAAGAACAAAAAAGTACCTACTAATTTACTTCACCAGTTAAAGTACAAAAATTATTGTACATTCATAATCAACATTTCAGTACCTATTTATATCAATTTTGTAAATAAAACATTTCATTGTATGAGTTTATATGATTTTCCTATTCCTCAATTATGATAACTTTAACCTCTTATTGATTGATGAAATTCATTCTCACCTTCCAAAAATATTTCATAACTTTGGAATGAGGGGCAGATATTTAGTAAATTTGTTGATAGTGTCAACATGGTGGCATGGCACAATGAAATATACCTACTTATACTATATTTTTTGTTGATTACCAGAGGTGACTGGAAGCAGTATTTTGTACAGATTGAAAATGAAATGAATAACTTAGTAACAACAAAGGTGACAAATAATACCTACTCAAATAGTACCTAAATTCCATTAATTTCTAAGAACGTATAAAGAACTTGGTGTGTGATCCTTCCACTAAAAGCTCCCCAGTTTCTTTATTCTTTATATAAGCCTTCAGAAAAGCTAATGTTTTCCCCACTCTTATTGTATCAGCATCAATTTGTACTTCTTGACCTAATGGTGCTGCTTTCAGGTAACTGAAAAGAAGTTAAATACTGATGAAACATTTTCAGACAGACAGTGAATATGGAAACTCACCTCATTTTTATATCAACAGATACACTATTAACAATCACATTGTCATGAGTGAGCAGAGCCCAGCTAGATACAGTATCAACTAGTGTAGCTGATAAACCTCCATGAAGTGTTCCAAAGGGATTGATATGGTCCTCATCTACCTTCAACAGGGCTGTACATTTTCCTTCTCCAGCACTTATTATTTTTAGCTGGAAAAAGTAAAAATCTTAATACTTTGATGTGAAATTTATAATCAATGAAATGATCAATTGCTTCTTCTTCCTTTCGATTTGAATGGCCTTATAGCTACCTGGGCTATCTGGCCAAAATGATCAATTGCTATAAATTGTAGGTTATTGATTAATGGTACTAACCTTTTGTATACATTTTTCAAAATATCTACTATTCTTGAGATAAGTTGCAAAATGTTCTGCACCCATTTTTGCAGCTCCTCCAGCCATCATTTGCCACAAAATCTATTGCACAATAATTTTCAAATACTGGTGTGGTGTGAATCCTTGGTGTGAATATGTAATCAGTTCACCTTGCTCTTGCTAGTCTTGCTGCAAAAATGATGTTTCCGCTTCATGACTTTGCTCAAATCTATGTTTACATTATATCTCATTAATTTTTTTGTGGAGTATGGACTTTGACTATGACAAGGATGAACAGAAGATGGTGGGCCAACTGTAGGCAATCTCCATATACTTATTTTGGTACAAAACACTTAACAGACAGCCTACTAGATAGAAGGAATCTATTCAATATCAGTGACAGTACTCGCAAGTGAGCCGCTAGATGGCGAACAAATGTCATGGAATTACAGTTTAGATAATAAAATAATTTTAGGGAATCTGTATTCTGTGGGCATATTTGAGGTTATGTTATTTGTTATGTCTGACGCCAGTCATAAAAAAAAACATGTTTATGTGTTTTTTTGGACTGGAATGCCCAATAAGATAGTACGGAATAAAGTGTATGTGTTTTTGAATTCGATCGTCAAACCTTTGAAGTCGACGAGTCTCTGCTTCATCTTTCAAGTGGACAGTGATCCCTGAGATTCTGATTGTAGTGCTGGTGGTACCTACTTATGGAAAAATCGAGGGAAAAGTAGTTATTCATTGAATCACAGATGCGTTTGTAAACAGTAAGTACTCATTTTATATTTCATCCATATTCATATGATACCTGATTCACAGTCCTGATTTGTTGATGGTTTTGCAATAGGGCTGATGCATTCTTGCTGATACTGAAGTGAATCTCAGATTATATTATTTATTCCATATATCTCAAAATACTTTCTATCCACCATTCATACCTGCTTGCCTACCTCAAACAGTTAGAAGTTTACCTATCTGTTTTTTCTTTCTGTAGTAGCATAGATCTATGGTAGTAGTATGTAGTATGATGGCCCTTTTAAATAGATTAACAGCCATTCTCTATGCAATACCTACCTATTATATGCATGATGCAGAACCGAGTGCAGAACATACCCTTGAACAGACATTTTTATCATAAAAACCTTAGAAAAAGTTGATAATGAATTCTCACAATCTACATTTAAGTGCAGTAGTAAATAGTTTATTGATTCAATTTTGAAACAATCTTTTTACTCTTGTGGGGTTGGAACCTACATAATTGAATAATTCAGCTTGGTTTTCAACAGTCATCAGTAAATATATGTTCCAGAGCTTTTTAAAATTTAAGACCAGCAACTTTCATGCTTATCCTACACAAAAAGTCCTCCAAAATCTCATTCCAAATAGTGAAACAGAACCAAATCAACCCTTTGTCAAACATCTAAGAATCACTCTTGATTTTTTCCAAATTGCAGCTCCATGTAATCAAGCATGTGTTTTGGTTCATCTCAAAGAACTTTTATAAAATTATACATTTCCATAAAACATATCAATCAAAATTTTTGTTGAATGTCTAGGGTGAAATGAAAAACCAATGTGGTGGTTCATGACATATTGTTGCATTGATTATGTTCAATGCTGTTACATTATCATGAGATTCAGGATGAAAAAAATTCATCATTTATTAAACAGTATAATACATCAACTACATTGAGCTTTTGTGTATTTATTTAGTAAAATAATATATGTTTCAGTAAAACTGTTTACATATAAATGTTTATCAACTTTTCTACTTCAGTATTCCAGTGCCATCAGAAAAATTTTGAAGAAAAATATGTAAGCCTTCTTGGTGCAGCTTCTGAATTGGTCATCAAATTGCAACACCTTATCTGACATCCAAGTGGAAGCTATTGAACTATTGTATCTGGGTGAGTGTGATTATATTTTATTACTTAGCATATATAATTTATCAAAGTACATATAAATAGATCTGTATTGAAACTACTATCACTAATAAACAAGGAATATCAAATTAGTTATCACAGTCACAGGTAGGTATAGGGTGATTCACCATTAATGTCCCCCTCCCTCTATTCTAAACTTGAATATTTGATTTCTGTATGGGGATCAACAAAACTATATATTATGAAGCCTCTCAAAACTCTTCAAATAAAATTATCAAATGTATACTTATACATACTAATTTATTTGGAACCTACTAAGAACCTTTACAGAAAAAAAGAATTACTAGATATAGATTCATTATATAAATTCGAATTATTATCATTCATTCATCCAGTTAAATATTGTAAAAAGCATTCAAATTTGGTTTTCCAAATTAATAGTAGTCACCACAACCACACAACTAGACTATTGGTAAAAAATCCATCTGTCACAATGGAATGATACAATACAATTCACTACCAAATAACTGGAAGCTGATTAATAACATTGAACAATTTAAAAATAAATTCAAGAAACATCTACTCCTGTAATATTGACATCTTATCTCATTTTTATACTTTTCTCCTACAACTACTATAGTTTTCCATTGGGTACCTAACAGCTGAGCCAATTAGGAATCATTTTCAGATGAACTTGAAAAAAAAAAGATTTCTTGAGTGTGAGTCTTATTTTACTGTCTTCTTTATTTTGTCAAATATATTTCTACATCATGTCCCGGCTTAAACTTGTCACCCCCAAATCTCCCATGTCCTTAAAAATATTGAAAATCGCTGGGACTGGTCGATTTGAATTTGGCAGGGGACACATTTTTCTGCAATTATCAGATTTCAAAGTTAAAATCTTGAAGTGTAACGGGCATCAATTCTCGATTTCCAAATGGAGCATCCTGTATTTCATTGTATTTTTAGATTCTTCCTGAAGAGCTGCTTTCATCAATGTATCACACTTGGTATCTAGCGGGAATCTAGTGTTCAAAATCGAGATTTTACACTTATAGGATTTTTTTGTGTCCAAACTATTCATTATCGGTCAGAACGACTCACATGTCCCCATCTTAATTTTTGATTCACTATCTACTGATACCCTGTATTCGTTCAAATTAAATATCAGTAGATAGAAAATCAAAAGTTAAGATAGGGACATGAAAGCCGTTTTGACCGATAATGAATAGTTTTGACACAAAAAACTCCTGAAGTTAAAAAATCTCAATTTTGAACACCCTATATCTCTGTTATCATTCCCGCTAGACCCCAAGTGTGATTATATTGATGAAATCAGCTGTTCAGGGAGAATCTCAAAATGCAATGAAATACAGGGTGTCCCATTTGAAAAAAATCAACTAGTACCCTCTATATCGTTTGTTTGGAGCACCCTGAAATATCTCTTCAGATAACTTTACAAATTTTTAATAAGCTTCCAAATTCAATCATTATTTACAATGTCCATAGGTTGGATAGGTTGAGGAATAGGAGAATGGAAGGATATAGCAAAGGATTCCTGGGATTCTTCATTAGCAGAGCAGTCAATTTCAGCTAGAGCAGGACCTTGGGGAGGACTCATTGGAATTGGAATTGAATCATCTTCAGGGCTGGAAAATGAATATTCAATGTCAATAACTACACCTTTATTTGAACTCAAAATAACCAAATTGGAGAAATATTAGGAAGCAAATTGTAATAATTCTATGTTTCTGTCATTATAAAGTGTTTCTGATTCTTGATAAATTTAGTGGAAAAATTTTGACCTAATTTGATGTTATTCTTGAATTATTTATACATTTTTTTCATGTTATATGTATTTAGAGGATGATTGCAATATATGAATCACAATAGAGAACAATAACTATAAAAATAGTGTAATTATTTTGTATTTGAGATCTGTTATGACTAAATTATATCATTGTAGTTATTGTATTATTTCTTATATATATATAAAGGTACATTCCACTGTTCCAACTAAATAATAACATATAGTATTCATGTCTTCAAATTAGATTTTTTTCCCTGTCTGAATAAAAATTTCACATCACCCTAAATCCTAGTAAAAAGATTTTTTTTTATAATTTCAATAAAAAACTACTTTCCTAGCTGAAGAACATGTGAAGTAACTCTAATTCATATTTGAAGTGCAATCATGATCATCATCACTTTTATCTTAGAGAATAAAAATTTCATTTGATGCACAACCAGGGGTGGAAAGGAAAAAGAATTTTAGTCATTTACTAATTGTTACAAAAAAGTGATTTTTATTTCCCAACTATTGAAAAATTACTGAGAATCAAGTGCCTTACTATTTTTTCATTCAATACTGATGTGGACTTGTACAGGGGATGTCCAGGGGAAGATAACATCTCTCAAGATCTCTGGTTAACTTGTAAACCAAAATTCTAGAAATCTTTTATGCACATTAAAATCATGCAAATTATTGTATTTTTTATATATTTCAAAAAATTTCTTATGCTCAGACATTTCTGCAATAACAAAATAGAATTCAAACAATAATTCATGTTGTCATGACTGAGAGTTTGATGATTTCTTTAGGTACATTGACCAGAGCACAGGTTTGGGAAACAATGTACTTATGCCTTTATAAGGATAAAATCTTGATTCTAGTCTGCATTATGATTAAAATATCAAGTTGTGTTGATTTCAGAAGGCATATTAAACGTTACAGTGAATGCCTTTACAGTAATAATATGATACATTGAGTTACTTGCTGAACTGATGGTACATATCTCCTTTTTTCAATTTTTCGCTCCTACTGGCTGGAAAATGGCTGGAGCAGACAAAAGATTTCAAAGGCAAAAGCTGGCCACAAGCGATTACCCATTCCAAAAGTTGACAATCATCCTGAAAAACATTAGTTTCACTCAGAGTAAATTGTCTAAATTGATCATGAAGGCCTTATCATTTTACAATGTTTTACCACTAACCAAACTGATATTTTAACTCTCAATTTTAATATTCTGAAATTGACATGGCAAAAAATATTTTCTTAGAGCACTAAAATGGTGCACTGTGGTTATTGTGCCAGAAAGGTTCCTGAGTCTTAGATATACCTATCATTCCTATCAAGTGAATTAGGTATTGGTATATCATATCCATCATTATATTATAATATGAGAAAAAATAACATTAACA